CTGAACTTGGAGGGATGATGAACGAAACCGCTCTTTCGGTTGTTATTGGATGGGGGACCGAAACCGCTCTTTCTGTTGTTATTGGATGGTGGACCGAAACCACTCTTTCGGTTGCTATTGGTTGGAGGACCGAAACAGCTCTTTCGGTTGTTATAGGATGGAGGACCGAAACTCTCCTTTCGGTCGACGGAGTGAAATTACCCTTTTGGTTCCTTTCGTTTGAAGGACCGAAACCACCTTTTGGTTCCTTTTGGTCGAAGGACCGAAACCATCCTTTCGGTTGATATTGTCACGAGACCTGAAACTATCATTTCGGGTGTGGGACCAAAAATGTCCTTTCTGTTCCTTGATTCCTCTTGGGATTTGTGCTTCTTTTCAATCCTTACATAGTGTGGATTTTGTGATCTCCAAAACTGTTTCCTTTCTGAGAGATTCTTCTTGTATCTCAGATTTCGTTTGTGTTTTTGATTAGCTACCTGTTTTGGATTCCTATGGATGTTAGCCTTTTTCCTTGAAGTAGAAGCATAGTTGTCACTCTTTGTTGAGGATGTTTCGCTAGTGGTTTGCACAGGTTCGCCCGTTGAAGTTTTGGTTCCACTTGTGCTTGGCACATCATATATTGCAGGCTCATTTAGAGGTTCGGGTACATATCTACCTTTCACTCTCCATGAGGTTTTCTGAGATAGGCCCTTAGTCTAGTCAGAGTTGTCTATTGGGGATGACCAGAAAAACTCGTCACATCCGCCAGCATTGTCTTCTTCCACCATACCTGTCAATTCTGCAGTTTTTCGTGGAGTGACACCCAGAACTGTGTAGACTTGATTTGGAGTGGTTTGTACCTTTTGGTACACAACAACTTTAGCTTTGAGAACTTTGTTTTTATCAGTAAACGAGCGAGCAAACTCAACAGAGTTTTCAGAAATTAGGTTTTTGCGTGACTTAGGTTCGCTCTTGACAAATTCTGAACAGTCCACCACATCCTCTACAGAGATTTCACTCAGATCATCATCCTCATTAAGTTCAGATGCATTTTCAACATCAATTTTAGTTTCTAAACCTAATTTGGCATTCAAAGAGTTAAATTTATGTACGGTTTCGATTCTTAATTACAATCATTCATTTTCGGCAAACAAATTTTTAAGCATGTCCTTGTGGTCTTTGGACTTTATGTATGATTCAATTTTGTCTAGACCTATTTTATATGCTGGAGAAATCTCGTCAGAAGATAAAACACTTTCACAGTTGTAGGCTTCAGCATCGATTTCACCCTCCTTTAACTCAAGGAAGGGTAAAATCATGCAATGTATCTTCTTTCCTATTTCACAATCAAGATGCAACTGAGTGATGTTAAAATAGAGACTTTTAGCAATTAAAGAAAACACATTTCACTGTTAAAGAAGTTTAAGATTGTCTCTTTGTAAATAAATTGAATCATCCTTAGACCTAATCAACTCATTCTCCTTTTGCTCGATCCAAATCCTCCTTTCCTCACTCTTTGATGAAATCCTGCTAATTTGATCAGTTAGGTTAGAATTTGTGACATGGGTTTGGGTGAGACTGCTACTTATGCTTGAAAATATAGATTTTAAGTTATTTAATTCCTTTTCATAGTTAGTAACAAGTATTTTTAGAGAAGCAAGAATATTTTGTACCTTTTTGATCAACTCATCACATTCGTTGATCTGTGTGCTGACAGGTTTGGCAATAAAACACTTGTCCTCTCGCTCCTTCTCGCCTTCTACGCCCTCATCGGTTGTATAACCACCTCTCATTTGAGACACACCTTCGGTCACCACAAAGCACCTTCCTGTTACATGTTCTTCTTTTACCAGCATAGCCTTCCCATGAGTGGGTTTGCTGACTTCTTCATCCTCTGAATCTGTGGATCAAACTTCCACACCACCGAATTCATCACAGTTTTCTGTATCCTGCACAATTAAAGCATTCATGGTAGTATTGTTAGCAGCAGACTTTCTCTTCTTGATTTCCTCCAATCTTCTCAGGTGGCTCGCTTCCTCATCTTTTTCATTTATCTTTTCTTCTTTCTTTCTCAGCATACAATCTTTTGCAAAATGGTTCTTGCCTCCACAGTAATGGCAGTCGAATCCTGAGTCTCCTCCAACTTTCGCTTCTTTCTTTGACTCTTCAAACTTTCACACCATCTTCGGTTCCTCCTTGATCTTTTCGGCGTTGTAACTACCCTACCAGTTTCGGTTCTTGTTAGCTGGGAATTTCTTTTTAATAAATTTTGTAGGATTAGACACTATCATGGCATATTCTTCACCGGTTAGATCATAATTGGCAAGATCCAATTCCTCTTCTTCTTCAATCAATCTTTTTCCTTTAGAGACAAGAGCAAAAGAACCCAGACTGTAAACCACATTTGTATCCTTAGACAGTGCACTTTCATGGGATTTCAAAATACCCAGTAGTTTCGCCAGAGAATATGACTTGAACTGTTCATGAGCTTTAACTGTAGATACAACAACAATACATTCGGATCTGAGACCGTTCATGAAAGTAACCTTTTGTTCGATAACTTTCCTTTCAATCCCATGCATTATCATCTTACTTAAAAGATGATTGAAGCGATCAAAGGCTTGAACAAGTTTCTCTCCAGGCTTCTCCTTAAAGTCTCCAAATTCAGACAACAAGAGAGTTTGAATTGAATGTTCCAAATCTTCGTCAGTGGAATACAATTATTTTAATCTATCCCAGATCTCTTTAGTCGTGGCACAAGAACTTACCAAACGAAACGTATATGACTGCAGCGCAAACCTAATCATCGTCAGGGCTTTGATGTTGCATTGAAACATTTCCTTCTCATCTTGAGGAATATCTTTGACATCGTTAACAAGCTGGTTGTACTCTTTCCGAGTTTTGACAATCTTAGAGGTGCTTGAGTGAGCGAATGGGCCAACAGTGATCGCTTCCCAGATCAAGTATCCATTATCCTCGGATCCAATCACATAATCTTCAAAGTGATACGTCCAAACTTCATAGTCTTGTGTATACAAGATTGGTTTGTGAATCATCCATGGACATTGTAATGACTTTTGATCGGTTACCTGTAAAAGATCAGACTTGTAATATACCGTTAGGGTTAGATCAACAATTAATGAGATACGTCAATATGGAATGACAGCTCAATTAATATCAATCAATGCGGAATTAAAAACCCTAATAACTTCTTCGACAGAAGAGATGTTTATGAATTACATAGTCTCCTGTTCTGATACGGTGATACCAATTGATGATAATTAAATTCTAGATCGATTAGATCTTTCACAGGTATGAAAACGAAAATCAAACAAGAAAAATTCAATAATAGAATGAACACAAAATAGAATCAAATATGTGCTTATGATTCAATAAAGTCACGCCTCAGCAGACCTCGATGAAGAACTTCCACTGTAGTGGCGAGCTAGGGTTTACAAAACTCAAAGAGAAAAATTATAAAAAACGTTAACTACAAAGACTGCATTATATACTAAACCCTAGAACAAAATATGCACGGTTGGACAGGCCGAATACCGGCAATTAAAACTGGGATAAGGACCGAGCCCATGACGCAATCTAATAATCCCATAATTTATCCCAATTAAGGTTATTGAACAATTTATTTTTGACGTAAATTTGACTGGTGTTACATTATACCGCCATTAAAGAGGATTTCGTCCTGAAATTCGCATTTTAAATGGTTCATCAATGGTCGAGGAAAGGTGAGCGTACTTATGATCCATTAGTTCTTCTTGTATGGTATTTCGAACAATAAAATGCGTTAATGTTTGCTATTAGGGATTTTTTGGTGTATTTTGTATGATATTTGCGACAAATGGAATTGAATATGATATTTGACAAAAGAAATAGAAAATTTAAAATTTTTATTTTTTTATAAAATGAAATCAAGAATGGAAAAATAATGATTCCATCGCTAAACGGCCCGTAGGTATTCTGAAAGAAAAAAATCAAATTTAGTCAAACTTGAATTCCATCGTTAATTCGTAAGAAATCCATAGCTAAACAGTTCCGTAGCTTTTCTTTAGGAAAAAAGTCACTTTTGGTCAAACACGACTCGTGTGGGTAATCCATTGTCATGTCTTTTCCATGGCTATTCCGTAGGATAATAGTTAATTTTAGACAAATTTCACACCCGTTGACAATCCGTAGGCATTCCGTAGCAAATATTTTTCATATCTAATCTGTAGGTATTATATCTACAGAAAAGGCCGTAGCTATTATACAGCTCGTCAGTAGCAAATTCGTAGGTATAGATTTCTTAGTGGCGCTTATTCTACAGACCATTTTCCATAGCAAATCCATAAGCATTGCCATATAGCTACCGAATATCTACGAATTATGCTCTAGGTATTGTCCCAGTTTTCTAGTAATGATGAAACAACTTGGTTTCGTCTCAATACAATTAAACATGTCAATTCTCATTTTGGAAGTGTAAGAGGTATAAGTGACATTTTAATTAAATATGAAATTCATACCTTTTGATCCGTGCAAAAAGAAGTTACTACATTTGCAAATTGACACTTTTTTCGACATCAGAATAAAAAATATCCATAACAATTGTTTCTCTCTAAAAATAAAATGAACACTTGCCAAAATATATTGCATTCAGTGACTAAACTTCTAAATGAATCAAAAGTGGCATTGGCCAACTAAGCCAGTTGCATTTAACTATATATGTACGTTGTTCTTTCTTAAAAGAACTCTAAAATATGTTAATGCAACAGATGACATGTGTGCTTCATGGTACCTGGATATATTATTCAAAGAAAAAATATAGGAACTTTCGTGAGTTCTTCGGTAATTAATTAGTCAAGCATCTGGCATGTTTTGAAACATTTCTTTAATCTCTCTCATTTCAGCACGTTGTGATTTGCAAGACTCACGCCAATATATAAGACTTTAAGTCAGTGAGAGATTTAATTTGATATAAACCATTGTGGGTACAGAGATCTACAAATATAGATTTGAAAGGCAAAAAGATGGTGAAGTCATCTTGTTACGACAACGGAGTGAAGAAAGGTGCGTGGAGTGAAGATGAAGACATCAAGTTAAGAGCTTACATCCAGAGATACGGCCATTGGAACTGGGGTTTGCTTCCCAAGTTTGCTGGTATAATTACAAGTCGTTTAAGCTCTTGAATTTTATTGTATGTATTCACACACTTGCTTATTATTATTTGATCTCCATTGCGTAGGTGTATCAAGAAGTGGTAAAAGTTGCAGATTGAGATGGATGAACTATCTCCGCCCAAATATTAAACATGGAAATTTTACAAAGGAAGAAGACGATCTGCTTATTGATTTACATAAAAAGCTTGGAAACAAGTAAGTACAAATTATAATTTAAACAAAATTATGTAGCACCTTTTCGCATTAGTTTTTCTAAATTGTTTTTAATCCTTTATACACAGATGGTCAACAATAGCGGCAAAATTACCTGGAAGAAGCGACAATGAAATAAAAAATCGTTGGAATACACATTTGAAGAAGAGAGCTCAGAATGACCTCACTGAGTCTTCAAATGAACACTTAGGAACCCTAGAATACGATCAGGCTAACCCTAAAGAAAATCCTGTTAACAAAACAAGTCTACTACATCAACCGGAAGCTGGAACTTTATTCGCAGGAGAATCATCTGAATCACCATCATACTCTTCACTCACAGAAATATCATCGTGTCAGTTGAGTGGTTCAGATTGTGCACTGTTTAGTGACTTGACACCACAAACATTCGATGAGGAACTTGTCGATAATTTCTGGAGTGAGCCATTTCTAACAGACATCGATGCCATTTTACCATCAGGAAAAAACTTGTTGTCACCTTTTAATTTTGACAACGAGTTCAGTTCTCAATATTCTTGCCAGGATTTGATGATGACAGATGAAAGTTTATGGTCAATGATGGATTCATATGTTGAAAACAATATTTTCATAAACTGAATACGTAGTTCAGTTTGTGTCTTATCCTTTAGATTTTCCATGACTATTGGTGTATTTGTGATATCGTGAATATACTGCCACTGCTACCCATTTCCGATGGAAATTGTGGTCGGAAATTTTCTAGTTTTCTAGTACCAAATAATGCTATACATTTCATATATTTGAGCTAGTATAAGATAATTGATGTAAGGCCTAGCTAGATTAAGTTTTTTTTTTTTTTTTTTTTTTTTTTTTTTTTTTTTTTTTTTTTAAATTAGTTATTTAATTAATAAATATCACTCATTAAGTATGGTTTTTAACTCTTTATATAACATGCCTCGTGCGAAATGACATCTTATAATGATGTAAACCACGAGTCAAATATTCACTTCTTAAGTCAAAACTCACCGTACATCAAATATACGTCGACCTTTTAATGAAAAATTGCTATAAAATGATTATGTTACTATAAGATTTTCATTTTGATATTCACATATCTTTTTTCTCAATTATGTTATTATATTTATAATTTTATTGAAATATCAATTAAGTTACCGGTTTCTTTGATCTCTCGATAAACAACCATTTTTCCGAAATTGCAATAAGTTATTAAGTTTATTGTAACATCCTAAAAATACCGATAAAAATTTTCAATTTTAAACCATTAATTTTATACAACCATTTGTTCCAAATTTAATTAAAGTAAACTTTATTTTCAATACATCTGAGTAAAAACACATATAATCATGCGAAAAAGCCATCAGGGTATGTTGTGCAGTCAAGTCGGACTCGTCCATTTGGAACCGGAAGCACTTGAAAAATTTTAAACCACAAACCTTAAGTATAATACTTAGTGATTTCCCAAAATACCGTATACCATACATAGGATAGGGATGATATATGCCAACCATAATCACTATTAGCCCTAATACATATCGAGGTCTTTCCCCACTATATTAGGGACCAAAACTCGGGCCTTACATACAAGTGCCAAGAGCCACATCATGGTCATCAATGCGAGCCTCGTAAAGTCAACTTGCATCCTACGTATAAATGCCAGGTTAAAAGCACTATCTTGCATATAACTGTCGGGAGCCAAATCGTGGTATTTCAAACAGTCATCAGGGGCCAGCACCTGGTCTTTCTATATGGTATAGTGAGAAGACTGACTTGTCTCTATGAATCGACTAATACGCAGCTCAATTTCATGCCTTCCATAGCTAATAGTTTCTCCTAGCAAACGAATGGCTGCTAAAAACCTCATAATAATCCATAGAAGATAAAACCTAAATCTAGCTTCTAAAAATTGAAATTTAACCAAAAGTCAAACCATGCCAAAAGTTAACTGTCAAAGAGTCAACAACCAATAATAGCAACAGCTGACCCTCGCTTCTTGACCATCACATGATGGTGTCATGAGAATGCACTCAACCTGATTCCAACTCGTTCAACCCCAACTTAACCACTCGGTCATGGACAACTCATTCAACAAACATTACGCCATAAACTTTTGTTGGTTATGTCGTGATCACAATAAGACAAGAATCTCAAAACTTGAGAGGGAAGAATTGAGATTGAAACATGCCATTGAAAAGTTCAGTGAATCTCAAAAGATTTAGGAGTTTCAAATCCAATTAGAAAACCTAATAAATTATTTCGTTTTTCATGGTAGAAATTGATAAATCGTCATTTACCTACCTTCAAATATTTTATAGCCTGGACTACGGCATCCCTCTTCCAAGTTATAAAATATTGTGTTGGGTCGTAGCTTTAATATATCATATTGGGTGTTATATTAAGGATTTAAATCAACTAACTTGATTTTCTCCCTTCGTAGATGTCTGGTTCAGACATCTATGATCTTCCCAAATATGTTGGAACTTCACTACATCCACCTCCTCCAATTATTCTCCCTAACCTACAAATTCAAGGTCACTCAAGCCCTATTGGCAAGCAAGGTCTATGTGTGATCGCATCTTGGAGATGAAGTCACATATTTACATGACGAGAGACTTGGGCATCAAAGTCTTAAGAAAGTTAGATGTTCAATCGATTTCTAAGTCACATAGTGAGTTCCTTTGGGAATAGAAACAGACTATGACATGACCCTTAATGATATCATTTATTTGCTTGGTATTGCTAAATCAACAATGATTTGAGGACTAGTAAAGAAAAATTGATTAGGAGAACAACTTCCCAATGGACTAATTGACAATGGTAAGATTGGAAATCCATAAAACCTTTCTTTTCCCAATGGAAAGTGATCGGCCATTGTCAAATCGGTTGACCAAATGGTAAAGAGGAAGGGTAAGTCTGAGATTGTCCCATGTACCATTACCAAAGAGTCCATATGTTTCTATTGCTAAAGGAAGGGGAAATAATTGTGAACCTGCCTATTTACCTGAAAGATCATAAGGTTGATCAAGTCAAGAAGTTTGACTCTACTTTAAGTAAAGTCCACTATCTAACTCTGTTAAGTTTCTATTATGAGATTCTTATTACATGATGTGATTGGGTCACATGTTGATGTTTTAAGAATCAAAGAAAAGTGAGGAAACTTAATGAAAAAGTATGTTGAATCTGATCGCGTAGATGGATTTCTATCCCATTGTTTGAAGATCAGATTCTTGTGCTACATCATAGCAGTTATAATAGATTGCTAGGAAACATGTAATAACATAGCTTTCATTTTAAGTTGCATTGTAAGGAAAAGTTTTTTTTCCGCTTTTTAAAAATAAATAACAGTTTTACTTTATTTTATATCTCATTGCAATGACATTTATGAAAACTTGATGTTTGTATGTTTCTAGCAATATTGGAAATATAAATTTGATTCTTTCATTTGTGGTAGTGTCTACATTTACCAAGTAAGGAAAGAGTCTCATCACTCAAGGTTCAACTGGACAGAGCCTTGGAATCATGCAAGTTATATAGTATGATGAATGAGAGACTAGTTCATTGTTCACATGTGTATGTGACTCAAGAGAAGGACTAAGGGATGAAGTACACATTCTTGTGCACTAGCCAAAGTCCACCACAAAATATGTATAAGATTATTCGTCATGATTTACTAAGGTTTAGTAAATATGATTATACTTACAAGCTTAAGTATAATTATGAGACATCGGCAAAATTTTCAATATATGCCAGAGCGAATAAGAAGAATCAAATTAGGCAGAAGGGTAAAAGTTTCTCTTAATCTTAATGATTAAGAGACCTTATCACAATTCTTCCTCTAAGTAGATTTTGATAGCTAAGAAGAGGAGTTATGAATTGTTGAAGTGGTTAAATCAAGAAGATGATTCATACTTCGTTCCAAAAGAAATCTTAGAATCATACACCAAGATTGTAATTTGAGTGACACATCTTAAAGAAGGTTTATTAACACTTGTCAAATGTAAGAGTAAAAAGTGTCCTACTCTTGTACATTTGAAATTGGTAAGTTGTGATGTTTTGGATAAACAAAGACCAACTAAGGCCAATTGTATGAAGTGTTTGTATTGATTAAAATCCACACTATCTCTTGAATATTTGGCAAGAAAGTCTTATACGTCATGAGGATAGTGGGAGTCTAAAAGATCCTGAAATAGTTTCAAGAACTATTCAAGAATAAAAACCTGTATTTCATCACTAGCACACGACTAGAGGTTTATAACTGTGACAACCCGAAATTTCTTTGGCACGAACCATTTAAAAATAAGTCAATTCGGATTTATCTCTGTTCTCGTTAGTATTATTTTGGGCCTAACTGAATATTCTAAGCTTAGTATAGTCAAGGTATGGGTCTAGGAACGAGTTTTTCCAAGTCATATCGTAGCATTCAGGTCGAACACCCCTTTGAGAGGAGTGTACCGCCGCAAACTCGAGTTTACGGCCGTACACCCCCACCCCCACCCGCTTGGCAGAAAACTCACCCCGTTATAACGAATGAGTGGCCTTCATTTCACATTTTACACACTCAAAGGGATTTCTCACTCTACTCTCTCTCTCCCTCTCTCTCTCTCTCTCTACCTTCATCGAAAATTCTTCAAGATCTTCAAGATATAAGTGTTTTCCCACCTTGATTGTTGCTACATTCCTTATTCTAGTGATGAATCCATGTTTCATCTCATCAATTTCATCTTTTTCTAGATCTTCTTTCTCCCCAAGAACACTAAAGAACACACACTAGTTATTGGTGGCTAAAAAAACCCCCATTCCAAGTTTCCTAATAGTAAGTAACTACCTCCTATGCTTGATATCTACTAGGAAACTATGATTTTCGTCTAGAAATCGGCCTAAAACACAAGAAAACGATGGGTTTACGACTGTAAACCCATGTGTACAACCGTACACCCCTTATTGGTCGTAAACCCTAGTATTTGGACAAAGATTGACCTTAAACACCCCTTTTTACTATGCATAGGAATTAGAACACTTCCAAGAGGATATAAAGGATCTAGAAACGCCACGAATCGCACTTTTCCTTGAGTGTTTACGGCTGTAATATCATCGGTCGAAAACCCATAGGCAGTAAACCCATGGGGCGTAAACCCATGGACTGTAAAGCCTGTTGGGCTGCAAACAATTGACCGTACACTTCTTTTACGACTGCAAACTCCCTATTTTCAAATCACATGTGATTCCAACACTTAATTTCAAGTTTTTCCTAGTCCCTAAGGTGATTTCCTTCCATAAATAATAGTGTTATACACTCATCTAATACATGTACGTACTACTATATGTTAAACAGGATCCGTTTGTATTCAACATTTCCTTTGGCACCCAACATTCCTACCGACATACCTTCGAATTCCACGTCAAATGGTGAGTTCATACCCCTACATTTTTCCAATTTTTTAAATATTTTCAGGGGGGAATACAAGTAAAAGCACAAGTAATCTTGTGTTCAAATATATTATTTCGTTTAATATATTACTATTATCAATATAAGGCATGTGACATCCCCATTTTTCACGGCAAGAAAAGACCTATTTTGTTTATGCATTATAAAAATCGGAGTTCTTCTTTTAATAAAAATG